CAGGTTTGAAAAAGTATTTTGCTATGGAACCCACAAAAAATTAACTTGGGTATTTAAGTGGCAGCAATTCCTCAGTGGGATGAATGTTAGCTGAATAAAGTCTGGGGTAGTATCCTATCTATCACTGCATGTGTTGAGAAGTGATAAAGTCAGGAAAGATGTCTATACTTTTCAAATAACTCAGTGTTGATTGAAGTTTACCAGATATTGAACAATTTAGATAGTAAAGGCACCTCAGTTGTCTCAAATATTTAAAATATAGATGCAATGCTTAACTGATACTGAGCTTTTTAATAAAGTATTAATATAAAACCTGGACAGATTGGAATAGTTTTCAAAAACCAACAGTTAAATGGAGATTTTATACCCCCTTGCTAGTCTTATTCTATATAGGTATGAGAAAGAAAGTTATCTCATAAGATCAGATTACTCATTTGCTGAAAACTACATTCAAGTTTGGCTAGCAGCTTACAGAATTAGGTGTCAGTGTTTGATCTCATCCAGGAATCATTTCAGTTATTTTTTCTACTCTTGCTTAACTGTGGGAACTTTCTTATCATACCCTCTAATAGCTAATTCAAAGCAGTAGAAATAGAACCAAAGGGAAACCACAAGTTTTACAGAACCCTCTCCCCCAAAATCAAACAAAACCAAAGAACAGAATGAAACAAAACAAGAAGTCTAAGAGAGAAAATGCCTGATTAAAGCAGTGTAAAGAACATCTTAGGAATTCAGAACATTGAATGTCATTTGGAAAAGTAAAATTGAATAATATCATGGAGAATGGCTTGCTTATCTGTAGACTGAACAAGAGAATTCCTATAAGTAAGAGAACCCACTGAAAAAAATTAACTGCAGATCCCACTTGTTTCTTGTTGATAGATCAGATTCTTTTATTAATCCAATAAATTAATGCTGCTAGAAAATAAATTTATTTTTTATTGGTTCTTGTGCAAAAAATCATATTTATATTTCAAGTAAAGCTGCATACAAAGTAACAATAATTTGTTGTACAATTAATTGGTCACAAGAGTTTTTAAAAGATGTTTGTACTCTGATCAGGATTCCTCATGGAGCATGTACTGAAAGTTGAATTTAAAGTGCTACACACACAATTGCACACACACAGGAGGAGGCTGTATAATGTTTTAAGTTTGAAAGGAGGGTCTTTAATATACAGTGGTACCTCGGTTCATGAACTTAATTCGTTCCATGATTCTGGTTGCAAACCGAATCAAATTTCCCCATAAGGTTCAGTGTAAATACGGTTAATCCGTTCTGAACCATATGTATTTTTTTTTTAA